AATAAAAATAAAAATAGAGCCTGTCCATATCTCACCATCCAGAGGAAACCCCTATGAAGAGTATCATGGTTTTCCTTCGGCATGCTTCCCCTGGCAGGAGCATGCATATATTTATGTATATTTTTCCTAACAAAAATGAGATCATATAATATACACTGTTTTGTAACCTGCTATTTTTCCCTCAACAATGAGCCATGGACACGTTTCCATGTCAACAGTATAGATCTATGGCACTGTCTCCACAGCCTCTGAGAACGCCATTGTCTGGCAGGACCATAATTTATTTAACCATCTCTTGCTGATAGATAATTGGGCAGTTTCTAATTTATCAAGAGAGTGCGGTGAACTTATTTGTAAAATGCATATGTTTGCTCTTGCTGGATTATGTATGACTAAGATTCCATGATTCCCAGAGTTTGAATTCATGAGTGTAAGTTCCTCTGTCTGAGATTTAAGATTCCGTGTCTGTAAGGCAGTATCTGTCTTCCTGGGAAGGCTTCGTGCTTATCAAAAACAAGCAAATCTAGGGCCAGGATGTCCCCATCACAGTTTCTCCCATGAGAGTGCTCCGAGCAATGCAAGTCAGCCGGTGGGGAGGTGGCTGGGGCTCGGGGCTCAGCGGGTTGGGGGTGGTGCTGGCCGTGTATGCCCATCTAAGCTGTCCGCCTCCCTCGCCTCATCCCTCAACTGGGTCTGACTCTCAGTAACTGAGCGGAGAGGTGAGCCTGGGGGGCCAGTGAGCACTGAGAGCCCAGGCAGGGCGTGATGAGCAGAGTAGGCGTCACCTCTGGCCGTCGCGGTGGTAACGGCAGCAGTGCCCAGAGATGAAACACTGAGCCTGCTCCAGCCCTCTACGTGCATTAACTCACTAAAGCCCTCTAAGCACCCCTGACACTGCTATTCTTGTCTCTGTTTCACAGAAGGAAAAACTCAGCCTCAGAGAGGGCAAGTGACTTGTCCAAGGTCACACAGCCAAGATGTGGTAGAGCTCAGGTGTGGCCCAGATCTGTTGACTCCCCAGCCCAATCGTTTCTTATTTTATTGGAGAACGGCTTTAGGCAGGACTGTGGAAGTCCTAAAATCCCGTTTCCCTTCCTAAGTCCTAACACTAAGGAAAACTCCAATCCAGAAAAGTGTTAAGAAGACAACACAAATCTCCCACGTCCCCATGCCCTGGAAGGAACCACTGTGAAGTTTTCAGAAACACACATAGTTCTTACCAAAAAATGATATCACACTACCTATGCTGCTTTATAATCTCTTCTCTTTCAACTCTGTAACACAGTATGAAGTTCCTTCTACAACAGGAAATTTAGATTCATAGCCCGATTTCTAACCGCTGCAGTGGGTGCCACTGTGTGGCTGCAGGGAATGGATTAACTAGTCCCCTGTGTTAGACAAGTGGGTTCCCAATCGTCCTATTATCAACAATGCTACAGTGAACACTTTCCAGCATGCCTAGGTCCCTGTCATCCTGCAGGTCCCAGCTCAAATGCCACCTCCTTAGAGAAGCATCTTTAACTGTTCCATGTCACTCAGGCCCCCTGCCCTGTTCATCTTCATAACATCGCCATGCTCACTTCCTTCATGGCTCTGATGGGGTCTCTGCTTACTTGTCAGAGTGATCGTATAATACCTGTCTCCCCCACAAGGCTGTGTGCTCTGTGACGGGCACAGACTAGCAGGCGCTAGCCCTCAGTGCATGTCCCGGGAGGGCAGGAACGCCTGTGGGGCAGGGGCCCTGTCTGCAGGGCAGGCACCCCTGTTCCAGGGCTTGGAGACACGCTCTGCCTGCCGCCCTGCAGGCCACGCCCCAGAGCCAGTTCAGAGACCCAGAGATCTGCCGTAGAACCCGGGTCCAGTTGTGGGCTGCTTCAAGCTTCCATGCCAGGTGCCTGCCTTCCTGAGGCCCTGGCACACACAGCAGGCACACAGGGCGCCGGAGCCAGGGAGAGCTGGCAGAATGCCCTACCACTTGCTGGCTGTGTGGCCTTGGGTCAGTCATTTCCTCTTTTGAGGGCTTAGTCCCCTCTTCTGTAAAATGGGACCAATACCACGCACCTCACAGGGTTGTTCTGAAGATTCAGGAAGATAATGGATGTGCTTAGCACATAGTAGGTCCTCAGGAATTGGCAGTTCAGGCCCACATGCAGTTAGTTCAGAGGTTAGCTTTGACTCTGCCTCACCCGGATGGCCTCTTTTTACCTTGAATGATCCCTGGCCTCCTCCCCTGGCCTGTCTCTTGGGATGACACACTCCTATCCTTCAACACCTGTTAAATGGCTATATGTTCTGCTCTGACCCCTTGTCACACTCCCAGATGCCTCACCTGCTGCCTATGGCGACAGATACCTGCCTGGCCTTCCAGCCTTAAAAATACAAGAGGCACTGACACATGTCTGAGGAACAAATGGAGGAACCCAGCCCTTTTAGGGGGAACTTTCTGGCCCCCGATCCTCCTACACGGTCAGTGATGCTGGCCTGAGTCAGCCTGTCCGGTTTCTCATCCCATTTCCTGCACCTGAGAGCTCTTTGGCCACGTGGCAAGTAACTTTACTCCCTAAGCCTCACTTTCCTCCTCTGTAAAATGGGGAGAATAATAGAGTCTGTGAGGATTCAATGAGATAGCTACAATGCTTAGCAAGAACCTGGCATTTAGTCCGTGCTCAATAAATATTAACTATTATTGTTATAATGGCTTGCTAGCCTTTTTACTGTGAAATATAATACATACGGAGAAGTACATAAGATGGGAAAGTTTATTGAATGAATTATCATGAAACAAAGAGTTGTGTAACCACCACCTGGGTCAATGAATAGACCGGCCCCTAGGAAACCACTCCTGAAATTCTTACCAATCCTTACAGCTTCTTTTCTCCACAAAGATGATCCATTTTCCACTTTTCTAGTGCTATTATTATTGCTATTATTAATAACAATAAGCAAATAAAAAAAGATAAAAGTGTGGCTACTCTGCCTGAACTGAGCCAGGCTCCCGGACCCCTGGCTACCTCTGTCCTGGGCACGGAGATTCACCATTCGATTTCCCAACTTGGACTCTGGCTGTTCTTTAAATAACTGGCTTGTTAGCAAAATAGCAGCAGTAACACCTCCCTCGCTGCCGCCCAGGCCTCCATCTTTCCTCACCACGCTGACGGCTGCTCCCCCAGCTTGTGCCAAGGAATCCCATTCTCCGTCACTGGGCCACACGTGCCACGCCCTGCCAGCTACGTTGTGTTCCCAGTGGCCACAGGCCTGCCCCTCTGGCTGTGCCTGGCCTGGGGGGCAGAGGTGGGCACTGAATGGCAGCAATTTTCAGGAAAGGCTGGGATGTTGACAGCTGAGCCCTCTCCCCAGGCCCATGTCTCGGTCTTCCCATCAACCTCCCACAGGGTCATCAGAAATTTAGCTGAGATGACGAAGAGGAGGAAGCACTTGGTGAATGCCAGGCACATAGTATAAAATTGCTCAAGAAATGCTCCAAGTTATTCAGGTGGCTCCTGTTACATATCTAGTCCCTGGGGAGGACACGCTGGAACTAGGGCACAACCAGGAGGGTGTGCAAAGGATTAAATCCCACAGACACCCACAGCTCTCAGACTGAGACGTCCTCATCACTTCTTTTCCTGCGGCAGCTTCTCAGCCAAATGCGACTGCTGTCTGCAGTCCCTACAATAAGCCAGGGGACAGATTAGGGGTGCTGGGTTGGGGGCAGATGATTAATAGGGCCGTTTGCATGGTTATTAATAATAAGGCTGGCACCACACAAGAGTGCAGCTCCTTGTTCTTGAAGAAGCACTTCTACTTACATTATCTACAATGAATTTCACGGGTTTTTAAATTATCTCATTACATTTGCATATGATACATATTTACAAGACTTTTCGCTTCTCATAACCATCTCATCAGGGAGGCTGGGCAGCTGTTAGCAGATGAGAGGACAGAGACCAGAGGGGCTGGCTACCCTGCTCAAGGCCTGAGCAGACTGCACGCTTTCTGGGGTGAACAGCGAAAAGGCCATTGGGCTCAGGGGTCCCGAGCACGTCTAGGTGGAGGGAGGTGAGAAAGCCTTCTCTCCTCTCCCTTCTTCCTTCCTTCTACAACTATTTACTGTGTACCCACTATATGCCAGGCACTTGCCAATTGCTGGCTGTCCAGCGGGGAATGACGCAATTACTTCTCACCCTAGGGAGCGGGCAGAGGCCACATGAACAGGCAGACTGTAAACAGCTGTCCCATGTAGTGCTGAGTGGTAGCTGGGTGACCATGGGCAAGCCCCTTAACTCATCTGAGCCTAGATTTGTCACGCCTTTGCGGCCACAGGAGGTACCGGTAGGAGGAGATGCAGGGACACAGGGAGTGCTGGGCGCTGTGCTGGCACTCAGTGGGGTATGTTCTTGGGATCATCGTTGCGGGGAAGATGACAGGACCAGGCTTGGAGTGGAGCATGCGGGGGTGGGCTGAACATCTCAGATGGGTGGTCAGAGAGGCTGCCGGGCCCTGAGCCCCCTGCTGTGTTGAGGTCAGTCCAGGTGGGAACTGGAGGAATGTGGGCAGAAGAGGCTGGAGGGGCAGGAACCACCGGGCTCCCCAAGATTCAGGAACTCTGACGGCCTTGCCTCAGTCCCAGCACAGCGCTCCCCTCCCCTTGCATTCCCATGCCTTCGTTGCCAACTGTTCCAGCCCGTTGGGTGTGGCAAGGGCTGGCCTTTGAGGTGGACAGAGTTGGGCTCGCTTGTGCATCCTCAGGCAAGGGGCTTCCCTTCTTTGAGACTGTAAAACAGAAGCCATTACCATGCCCACCTGTTGGGGTGTTGGGAGGGCTGGATAAGACAAACAGTTAAACTATGAATTGAGCTCAGACATATAAAAGCTCTCACTGAGGTCCCTTCACCAGCACTTTGGCATCACTTGGGGGGAAAGCTGGGCATTTTCCAGCTGTGCGGAGCACAGGTGGGTGGTGAGCAGCCCTGACCAGGCCGGTGGACGCAGTTACTTACCAACCAGGGAGCTACGTGCAGAGGAAAAACAGGAACCAGTTGGGAACCAGCAGGCGTCACCTCAGGAGTGGGCACTGGACCGAGGGCTGGCACACACATCCCTCCAGGCACTCAGAGGAGCTGGCAGCAACCAGTGTGGGACAGGGGCCCTCCAGTGTCGGCAGTGACCAGGGTTGGACCACCAAGCACCTAGCAGAAGGGAAGGCACCAGTACCTGCAGAAATGGGGGAGAATGTTGATTAGGAAGTGCCTGGGATACACTCTCCACTCCGAGGCGCTTGGGCTTGCCCTGGGAACCCTGGGGAGGGAGACACCATGCAGCAATCATAAAAATCGAAGTGTTTGTACAACACTATTTTTTCTAAGCACTTCGGCCTCCCAGCTCATGTGGGCCCACATTGTTTTTCAGAGGTGTATTTGCATATCATGCATATTTACAATGCCTTTCCCACCACCTACAGAATCCCCATAGCAGCTGAATCCCCACAGCAGCCTGGAAGCTGGGTTTCAAAGACTTTGATCCTTTCTGTCTTGCTTTGCCCTCATCTTCCTTGAATAGGGGCAGTCAGGAAAGCCACACAGTCCTGAGTACGAATCCCAGCTCAGCCCCTCACTGAAGGACAGCGGTCCTGTTCTGAGCCTCAGTTTCCTTGCTTGTCAAATGGAGTTAAGAGTGCATCCTCTGAGGGACTCCTGGTCAGGATGAAGGTATAGGTAGATGCCTTCTTGCACGACCACAGAGAGAATTACAACAATACCTCAAAACAAATAACAACCAAAACTGTCAGAAAAATCGAGCTGTATGGAAGTCTGACAAGAAAGGATTTAAAGAAGCCACATTCATCCAGACAGGTGCCTTTTCTAAGACAGGAAGTCAAAACGGCTTTACCTAATACACAGAAATAAACACATAGAGGCTGCTGAATTGAGGAGACAAAGAAATATGGCCCCAATGAAAGAACAGAACAAAACCCCAGAAAAAGAACTAAATGAAATGGACATAACCACCCTATCAGATGCAGAGTTCAAAACACTGGTGATCAGGATACTCAAAGAACTCATTGAGTACAGCAAAACCATAAGGGAAGAAATGAAGGTTACACTAAGTGAAATAAAGAAAAATCTACAGGGAACGCACAGTGGAGAGGATGAAGCCCAGAATAAAATCAATGATTTGGAACACAAGGAAGGAAAAAGCATTCAATCAGAACAGCAGGAAGAAAAAAGAATTCAAAAAAAATGAGGAGAGTCTTAGGAACCTCTGGGACAACTTCAAACATACCAACATCTGAGTCATAGGAGTGCCAGAAGGAGAAGAGGAGGAGCAAGAAATTGAAAACTTATTTGAAAAAATAATAAAAGAAAACATCCCTAATTTGGTGAAGGAAATAGACATACAAGTTCAGGAAGCACAGAGTCCCAAACAAATTGGACCCAAAGAGGACCACACCAAGACACATCATAATTAAAAATGTCAATGGTTAAAGACAAAGAGAATCTTAAAAGCAGCAAGAGAAAAGCTGAGAGTTACCTACAAAGGAGTTCCCATAAGACTATCAGCTGATTTCTCAAAAGAAACTTTGAAGGGACTGGCAAGAAGTAGTCAAAAAGCAAGGACCTACAACCTAGATTATTCTATTCAGCAAAACTATCATTTAGAATTGAAGGGCAGATAAAGTGCTTCCCAGACAAGGTAAAAGTAAAGGAGTTCATCGTCATCAAGGCATTATTACATGAAATGTTAAAGGAACTTATTTAAGAAAAAAAGAACAAAATTATGAACATTAAAAGGGCAACAGATTCACAGCTATCAATAACTGAATCTAAAAAAGCAAACTAAGTGAACAACCAGAACAGGAACAGAACCATAGATATGCAGATCATTTGGAGGGTTATCAGCAGGGGGGTGGGGGGAGGAAGGGGGAGAATGGGGGAAAAGGTGCAGGGATTACAAAATGTGATTTGTAGGTACAAAATAGATGGGCGGGTGGTGTTTGTCAAGAATAGTATAGGAAATGGAGAAGCCAAAGAATTTATATGAATGACCCATGGACACAGACTAAGAGAGGGACTGCTGGAGGGAAAGAGGGTACTGCGTGAAGGGGGCAAAGGGGGAAAAACTGGGACAACTGTAATAGCCTAATCAATAAAACATATTTTTAAAAAAGAGCATCTCCTCTGAGGGCTACTGTGAGGATTAAAAAGAGAATGCAGGTAGACTACCTGGCTCTGTCCCTGTCCCCTGCACTCAGAGCAGGAGGCGCTGCATTACGTCACCCCCTCCTTCACCTCCCACATAACACATCTTGTGCAAGAGGCAAAGAGAAGCCAGGTGTCCCTTTCCACCCACCTCTCCTGAACAGGTGCCACCGCTCCTGCTTGGATCTTTAAATCAGCAGGAACCCGGCCCTCCTGGGAGAAGAAAAGGGCTTCTTCACTCCACACCCCCTTCCCAGGGGCCTCTTAGCTGCCTTGGAGGCTCCAGTGGAAACCCCTGCCCTCCACCCTCTCACTCTGCAGGTGGAGGAACTGAGACATAATGGAAATGAATTCTGTGGGGGCACAGAACCCAAGAGGTTGGGCTGGGGTCTGAACCCAGGCTCCCACCTCCCAGCCCTGGGAGGGGAGGTACAGGAGTTAGCTCACAGGAAGAATACGGAAAAAGGGGCCATTGATGGTGGGGGAGGATCATCATCTTCCCTCCTGGTCACCCCAGGGCCCTGGAAAGCCCTGCCATCTCTAACCTCCCTGTATCCCCACATGCTCTGTTCAAAGCCCATGACAGGCGTGGCTGCGTTTCCTTCTCCCCACAGCCCTACCATGTTATCCCTGTTTCCAAAGGGAGAATCAGTTTCAAGGAGTTTCAGGAGTTACTCACAGGCATGTGCACCGAGGAAGAGGCCGAGCTTCTAATTCCAAGACCCAGCCCTTCACCCCCGGTGCCTCTCCCAGAGGGAAGGTCACCAACCAAGACAAAGAGGCATGACCATCTGGGGGAAAAATGGTTAAGTAGCAGGAAAAGAAAACACCAAACTCCAAAAAGTTCTGAATTAGTGGACATGAATTCTTAAAGATGTATAAAAAGATTTCAAGATGCACCATGGGGCATGAAAGCTGCCAAGGCATGAAAATCCAGGGCTTGGGGGATGAATTCCTAACCAAGCTGTCACTTTCAGCAAAAATCAGCCAGAGTCCCAAGCTGAAGGGAAAGAGGTGACAGTGCGGGGAGGCATTCTGTGCAGGGCGGTGGGGCAGTGGGCCTGTGCTGGGGGTCCCGGACATGTCTTGGAGCCCCGCTACTTCCTTGCTGAGGGACCGGAGCAAGCCTCCTCTCGGGCCCCCGCTTTACAACAGGTGGGAGAAGCAGCAGGCAGTCTCTTAGCTCCCTGCCAGCTCTGACGGTGTGTAGATTCCAGGACTTCTAACATGGATGAAACTCGAGAACATTCTATGAAGTGAAAGAAGCCACGAAAGACCACATAGTGCATGATTCACTTCCAGAAAATGTCCAGAACAGGCAACTCTGTAGGGACAGAAAGTAGACGGCTGGTTGCCAGTGGGGGGACTGGCAGGGGATAACAGCTTAGATGTTTGTGTTTTACTTTTGGGGCACTGAAGATGTTTGAAGGGGTCATGGTGATAGATACACAACTCTGTGAACATACTAAAAACCACTGAGTTGTACACTTCAAATGGGTACATTGTATGAATATGAATTCTACCTCAAAAAAGCAGTTACAACAATCTGACATTTAAAAAAACAAAGATTCTTTGACTTCCAAATGCATGGTTGTTCTGTGGGAGTCTGCAGGCCTCCCACAGAGGCCCAAGGAGTATTTCCCAAGAAGCCCCCGCATCCCCCCACACCCTCTATCCCAGAGGCCTTTGCACTTCACATTTATCTCCTCCAGGAAGCCCTCCCTGACCTCCCAGTGAGGTCAGGTCCCTGGTTCTCAGCTCCCTAGGGTCCATCTGTTTTTCTTTCTGGCCACTTATTGTGTTGATGTGAGGAAATCATCTCCGTGATTATTGGTTGACCCTGCTTCCTCCATCAGACTGGAAGCTCCATGACGGCAGGGATTATTGTCACTGGTCATCACTGTCAACACTTTGTGCAGTCAGCGCCTGGCATAGAATAGGCGCTCCAGCAACGGTCACTGACTGAAGGAATGAATTGCAGTTCCAAACCCTGTGGTGCACACTTAGCTTCCGGCCCTGGCTCCACCACATTCTGGCCAGGTGACACGGGGCAAGTCATGTAACCTGAGAGTCTCAGTGCCTACTCCTGAGAGCAGCCAGGGGAATAAAAGGGATAATGGACATGCAGAGTACTTTATGAGGTGGCTCCACCCATAGCTGCCCCCACCTTGGTGGATGGAACCCCCTCCTGGAGTCATCCTTGACGCCTCTCTCTCCCTCACCCTCCACATCCAAGCCGTCAGCAACTCCTACCAGATCCACCTTCACATTCTATCAAAAAGCTGATGCACCACCTGCACTGCTACCACCGCTGTGGACTGAGCCATCATCATCTCTTGCCTGGATTAGTCATGTCCTCTCTTGTCTCCTGCTTCTGCTTTTGCTCCTGACACAGAAACCAGAGGAGGCAGGTTGAAACGCAAGTCAGATTCTGTCCCTCTGCTCTTAAACCTCCACGGCCTCACTTCACCTCCAGTAAAAGCTGCCGCCCCGCACAGGCCACAGGCACCACCTACAGATAGCGCCTCCGATTCTCCCTTTTATTCCCTTTTGCCCCAGCTACGCTGGCCTTGGTGCTGACCCTTAAGTACACCTGCCGTGCTCCTGCCTTGAGGCCCTTGCACTTGCTCTTTCTCCACCCGGAGTGCTGGTCGCCCAGATGTCTGTGAGCCTTACCCCCAACCCTCCCTTCCGACCTTTGCTGAGACCTGACCTTGTCCATGAGAAGCTGCTCAGCACAGCGGTTAAGACTCTTCACTGAAGAGTCCCTTGCATGGGCTCAAAGTAAAATCCAGGCTCTGCCAGTTACCTAGCTGAGTGACCTTGGGAAAGTTTCTTAACTTCTCTGTGACTCAGTTGTTCATTTCTAAAAGGGGAGTAATTCCTCATATGGTTGTTGCGAGGCTTAAATGAATTCAGGGAGCACAACCTCCACATCAGCTGACACCATCACACCCTGATCCACTCCACCTAATATTC